ATTTCTGAAGAGTACTAATGATGTGCTCTATATCATAAATATTTGGTTGTAAAGAGAATTTTGCACTAACTGCTCATATATGCTTCATTTGACAGAAAATTGAGGAAAACAAATAATTCTTGAATAGTGTACTATTCATGGAAAACTTCCACCTCACAGAAAATTGAAGAAAACAAAAACCTATTAATTTATGGTGTTTGGTAGCACATAAAGTATGATGAAAAACAACATTCAAGAAACTGAATAATAGTCATAAGAAAAGTCAGAAGTCATTTCCTTAAAAGAGGGTCAATCCTCCCCACCTCTCTCCATTCAACTCCCACGACACCCATATATGACTATGCCTTTTTTGGGTTTGCTTTAGCAGTTAAACCAGGCATAGCTAGGAAAATTAAGAAAGCAAGAAAGTCATTCATTTGCTTTCCTATTGAAAACAATTTATTTTTTGAGGATTTCATTTCTTTCCCATTATTTCACTTGTAACCAAATGAAATGCTACAGAATATCTTCGTATCATAGATATAATTTGTCAAAACAATATGTATGATAGGAAAACAAGGAAGGTGTCTATTTCATTTTAGTCATTTTGCAGAAGGCATAGCTTAAATGAGATGAATAAGATGGAATGAAGAGAGAACATTAATTTCTAAATCAACTTTATTGCAATTTAGGTGTCAATTTTAAGCATCAGTTGCAATGGAGTAAAAGCAAAAACACACTAGTGCAATTATAAAAGAAAAAACAATTTTAAAACCTCCCCCAAAGTATACCCATCATTTTTTTAAATCTAAAAGTATGCCTACCATTTCGTTTTCCCCCACCCAAACCCCACTTTTTGCATTTCTACCCAAAAATGATCAAAGTTTGGGCACTGTTTGTTTGTAGTGCAAATCTGAATCAGATACAAAATTTGCACCCTGTTGAGATTTGTATATACCATGATTTGCACTCCAATTACCTGATGTAAGACTCTTAACTTTTGTTAATTTTACACTTGTTGGTAGTGGAACCTTTGCATCCCAAAATCTTTTGCCTCATACCTTGGTTCTCTCTCATATAAAGTAGGGATCACATCATTTTACTTCCTATTTTACTCTTTAGATACCTTCTGCCCCATTAATTAAATTTTTATGGATTAATTGAGAATAAGTGGGTGATTTTAAAATATTCCAAAAGAAAGTTTACCTTGCTCAAAAAAGCTTTATAGCTCCTTTACACTCGAATTGGAATCTGCTTCTCACATAGCAATCCTCACATCAACCTCATAGCCACATACTACCGTATATTAGAATCATCTCCCATTAATAATGTATAAGTGCGAGAAATGTTTCCGATGTACGGCTAAAACATAGTGTGAGGAGCCCTCTGGATTCTTTACACACACAAAATAAAAAGCTAGGATCATAGATTCTTCACTTGGAGATATGCTATAGGATGGGGGATGGCCCCCCTTTTGTTGCCGCCCCTGATTAGTACTATAAGATTTTCATTCAAACTTTTTAGAAGAGCATGTGCAACGTCTGGTCTTACCTCCCTTTTTCAGCTTTTTGGAAAAAAGTAGCTTAATTCATTTCTTACCAAACACCATGAAAAAGTCAAGCAGAGAATCTTTCATGCCAAATCATCAAAAGTAACTTTTATAACGGATTGCCAAATGGTGCCTTAATCTATACTATCACTATAGCTAAAATGTATTATATAATATGTCCAAACTTTTAAGTGGATAATACAACATAGATCATGAACTGGGTTAATGTACATGAAAAAACTTTGCCTGTTTGGAAAGAAACAATCGCGGTTATTTGGAAGCTTCATATAGACCCCATAAATTAACATGGGTGAAGGGTAAAAAAATGTATTTACAACAATCAAAATTCTCTTAGCCAAAAAGGACAAACAAGAAATTAAGTGGGGTAATGTGCCATACAAAAGAAGCTCCCAACCAGCCTAGATTATTTTTCTCAAATAATCTATTTTTTTTTCAAGTAAGAGAATCATTATTTTAAAATTTTAGGATAAATTACAAATAAGTACCCTGTAATAGTAACAGATAAGTATCATTAATTTTCAGTTGCAACACTTGATTACCCTAAACTCTCAAAAATAGACACTTGGGGTAGTATTCCATCAGTTAAACATTACATAATACCAAAACTAACATTCCATCGGTTAAATTTATACGGTCTGATTAATACCGTATATGGTATTAATCATCATGAGGAGAAGTGGTTGGTCCCTTAACTAATTTAATAACTTATACAATATTAGTCAGACTGTATAAGTTTAACTTACAAAAAGATAATTTTGACATTATGTAATGTTTAATTGATGAAATACAAACGAGTGAACCTAAGTGTCTATTTTCTAAATACTCAATTGAAAATTCAAAATACCTATCTCTCACTACCCTCAAACTACAACATACCTATATGTAATTTTAAATTATGGAGGGGTCTGGATTGGTCCATTAATTCAACCCCTCCAGTTACATTAAGGGAGGGGGGGGNGGGGCTTATTCCAACCATGTGAGTTGCGACAAGGGGTTTTTAGAGAAAATGTAAAAGAACTTGTGGGAGCCATTATGGGCCCCCAAATCAGATTTCGATTCCTTGGGCCACTCAGCCTTCCTGGATGAAGAGCTGAATGATCCAACCATCCGGCCCATTGTCATGATTGGGTTCATATGAAGATGCCAGATCTCTCTCATGTGGTGAAGTGGGCCAGGCCCTACACTGCTATCACATCAATTGAAACTGGCTTGTTTGGCTCTTAGTGTGATTGACTTCCAAAGGACCGTCCACCGCTACTTTTGTTTAACAAACACACTGGTAACCTTCAACGGTCAAGTGTCATCTCTACACTTGGCACATACTCATCAGCTTCTTCAACCCATCACCCATGTAGTAACAGGTTGGCATTTGCATTTGGTATTTTGTCATGCTCTCTACAATGAAGGCTGTCCCTCAAAGGACAATAATAAGGAAATCACTTAGCTGGTTTCATAAACATCATTATCTGGATAGTCCCTAGGATTTCAGTCCTTCAAACATATCTACATTTTTTTCTTTCTTTTGCAGTTTATAAATTTTAAATCATGTTCTCAATGGTTGAATAGTATCCAAAAATCTGATTTTATGTATTTGAGTTTCGACATAATCGAATTGAACTCATATAAAATTTATGTTGTTTGATTTATTGAATCAAACTTAATTATGGCATGATTCAATTTAATAAATTTAAAATCATGTTCTCAATGGTTTAGATTAAGGGTGTAAATTATTAATCAATTTAATAAATTATGGCATGATTCAATTTCATAAATTTGGATATGAATTTATGCTGTTTAGTATTTTTTGTTTTTTTTGTAGTTTGTAAATTTTAAATCATGTTCTCAACGGTTTACATAAGGGGTGTAAATGGTTTTCCAAAAATCCAATTTCATATATTCGAGATTCGACATAATCGAATTAAATTTTGGATATGAAATTTTTACTGTTTAGTTTATTAAAGTGAACCCAAATATAATATGATTCAATATAATAAATAATTGAACTGATTATAGCATCAATGTACACTACAAAATGACCTAATGACTACCCTTTATTTCTCCTTAATAAAATTATATTACAAATTATTTTATTCATTTATTTGTATTAATTGGTCAAACTCAAAAATTTAGTCAAATACAAGTTTGGTCCACCTTTCTAAGAATCTATTAGATATCAAATCAAATTTGAATTCAAATATAACATGATTCACTTTGAATTTGAATTATAGGCTAGCAAGAAATGTAATAGAATTGTAGTATCAAACACGCAAAAATTACAGACTCTATGTGGTATGGGTAGTGGGCCTCACTCTCACATGCACCTTTCTCCTTCCAATTTATGCTATATAAACCTCCTATTACCCATTACCCTACAAATAGAATATATATATATATTTGAGGAACAAATAGAAAGGTTTAGCGAGGGGAATTTGAATCACATGCATTAAACACCACTACCGTAAGAAACTTCTCTAGGGTTGCCCATTAAATGAAATGGCTATTGGGCTCAGTATGGGCTTAGTAAAGATGCCCATATGTACCCTAAATTGAAAATGAAAAGAAAAAGTAAAAGTAAAAGTTTGATAATTACATATTGCAAATTGATTTTGAAAAGATGCAAATTTTTAAGAAAATGACTCGTGTTTTGATTTTCCACAAGTCATTTTCTACTCCCGTATGCACAAACAAAAGAGCCTAAATAAAAGAAATAATAAATAAAATCCAGGGAGACATGAAAGAATGTAATTTGAGGTCTACATCCCAGTCGGTAGATCCTACGTAGATACCCAGGAATGGAATCTTTAGTTAATTAATCAATTATATATAAACATTCAAAATGTCAAATACCCACATTTTATGCATCAACGCCGCCTACTTGTAAATTAGCATCAATTTCAAACTTACACCTACCCCAATTATAATTTACTTACAAATTCTGACCCTGGGCTAAACCATTATTCTCCCTATATATAACCACTTGCATTGCATTATATGTTCCTTCTAATGGTAATTATAAATAATGGAAATAAAATGGTTAATTTCAAAATGACAAAATTGCCCTCTTAAAATGTTTTTTATTACCTTTTATACATGGGGCCCAAAATCACTACCAAATATTTGGTTATCAGACGGTTATATAAAAGGAAAACTGAGATGAACTACACCCATGGCATCCACACAGCCAGAGACCCACGAGAAAATCATGAAAGTGCTTTTGTGAATCATGTGGCGGTGAGTAAATTGCTCCTCACTCCTTTATGATGTCACAAGACAAACCCCATCTGCTTTTTTTTTTTATTTTTTTCTTTTTTTTTTGGTTTGAAGAACACCCATTTTGCTGTAGATTTTTGTTTGCTATACATTTACTGTGGATTTAACAGATTCATTTACATGCCCATTACTCTACTGAATTACCATTTTAAGAGGGTTTCATTTCAGTTTTGAGTTTTCAGGGCATTGAGTAGAGATGTAATGAGATATATTTTTATGGGTTGACATGGTTTTTGGTGTGGGAAGCATATAATTTGTTGTCCTCTCTGCTGTTTCTAAATGATTGCTGCATGGCTGTAACATACTATATGTATAAAAGCTTACACGAAGATTTGTTGAATCTTCCTCCTGCTCCTCTGTCAGTTCGTCTCTTCTCCATCTCTTTCTGCCTCTGTCTCTCTCTCACACCATATATAAACGCATGTACATGGACTATTGGATTATCAGCTTTTGGAAACAGGAGATTTTTCTCTATCCCATCCTCACCACAACAACCCAAAATATCGGTTAGCCAACTTGCTGTCGTCCCCACAGAAGGGTACGGACAGTTTTGAAGGATTTTCTCAACGCGGGTGGTGAATTATAATAGGTGGAGGAGGTGAAATCATTCCAAGAAGATCAACATTTTTGGATCGAAACTTGGTGAGACCATGCTGGAGCTTATCTGTTATCTGTTGTTTTGTTGTTCTTCTGTTTTCTCTGCCTTTCCTTTCCATGTATATATTTCTTGGTTTTCTTGTCTGTGAGTCCTGGTGTTGTTCTTGAAGGCCCTTCGAAATAGGTTTTGATGTTTGTCTTTGTTTTGGAACTTTTTGTTGATTTATTTTTGGTTTCTTAAAGTTGGTAGAGGATTCGGATTTTGTCTGTGGAATGTGCCCTTGATCTTTCATCGTTTGTGGCTTTTGGGCTTCTCATGTACTGTGCCTGTTTTGCTTCTGAATGGTGTGGGTTCTAGAAACCTGGGAAGATGAAAGAAAAAGGAGGTTTGAGCCTTGTACTCAATTGGGTCACACCGCCATTTGTTCTTTCTTTCTTTCCTCCATTTGGTCGAACCTAATCTTTCCATTCACTCTGTTTTTGTATCTTTCTTTGTTTGGTTTAATCCAATTTACTTAGGATAATGGTGGGTGCTTTACCATTTCTGAGTTCGTAAAACTTTTTGACTGCAGAAGAAAAGTCAATTTACTAATTAGTTGTAGAAATCATTGTGAACAATGGAAAGTACCCTGAATCTGACTGGCTTAATAAAGAGTGATTTAGACTGTAGATTTCTGGTGGTAGCTGGCTAACCATTTAGAGTAATAACTATGCTTTCTTATTTCATGTGGCCTGTGGCTCTTGGCAATGACTTGATATAGTTGAAACAAATGCAGAAAACCTGTTCTGAGAAGGACTATTGCCCGTGAAGTTGGCGTTGTGGGCTAGGCAACAGGCTGAGCGCATGCCTGGAAACAAGTGCAACGGTAATTCTTCTGTCCCCACAACTCGAGTGGAAAGGCTCCTGAGAGAGAGAGAACTAAGGAAATTCAACAGGACATTCCATCCAAATGAGGAGAGTAGTGATAGTAACAAGGACGCTGAGCTATATGATCATGAATTGAACTCAAGAGAGGGCAATAACTGCAAAAGTCCCTATGAGCAAGAGTATCTTGATGTGGCTGCACTAGCAAGATCATTCAGCGAAGGATGTGAACGGCAAGAAAGAAGGCCTTCCAAACAACGGCTGTTGGTGGTGGCAAATAGGTTGCCTGTCTCTGCAGTTAGGAGGGGTGAGGACTCGTGGTCTTTGGAGATAAGTGCAGGGGGTCTGGTTAGTGCGCTGTTAGGTATGTGGTTGCTGAACTCTTATTTTGAATGTAATTTTTGTTATTGTTTCAGTTAGTTTTGAGTGTTTTCCTTTTTGACCTTACAAAAGGACATCTCTTTGTTCTTATTTTGTTGAGTTATATCTATCTATCCATATATATCTATATCTATCTATCTATCCATCCATCTATCTATCTTATATGTTAGCCAATTTTATTTTCTGTGTGGAGTTTACCCTAAAACAAGAAGTTCATGCTCCTGGATAAATTTCTCATAGGTGTGAAGGAATTTGAGGCAAAGTGGATTGGATGGGCTGGTGTAAATGTACCTGATGAGGTTGGGCAGCGTGCACTTGCCAAAGCCCTTGCTGAAAAGGTTTGAAGTTGTTGTTTTCCATTTAAGTTTATTTGTTTCTGGAGGCCACAGACATGTCATCTAGACTTCCACCATTTTGACTTCCTCACTCTGCTACATTACTTTTGATTAAACGCAGAGGTGCATCCCAGTTTTCCTTGATGAGGAGATAGTTCATCAGTATTATAATGGCTACTGTAATAACATCTTGTGGCCTCTTTTCCATTACCTTGGACTTCCACAAGAAGATCGCCTTGCAACTACCAGGAGTTTTCAGTCCCAGTTTGATGCATATAAGAGGGCAAATCAGATGTTTGCTGATGTGGTAAACAAGCATTATGAAGAGGGAGATGTAGTTTGGTGTCATGATTACCATCTGATGTTTCTCCCAAAATGTCTAAAGGAATACAACAGCAACATGAAAGTTGGCTGGTTTCTCCACACACCATTCCCTTCATCAGAAATTCATAGAACATTGCCATCTCGGTCAGAGCTTCTGAGATCTGTTATTGCTGCAGACTTAGTTGGGTAAGTCATAGTTGTATACTGGATCAACAGTTCAAGATGCATGCCTTGGTATTTTTCTTTTCTTGCTTTGTCGTGTGTGGTAAGAAACTGCTGCATGCCTTTGGAAGATTAAATGGACAGAAAGTAAAGTTCTATTGTTATCATTCTGCACCATGTCATTAGATTATATTAACACATCTAAAGGTGGCTTGATATTGTTGACTTCATATTTCAGAACTTGTTGTAAATGCCATATATTTGATATTGATCATGCTGCTTAACTGGTATTAAGAAATTTAGGCATTATATATTTCTAATATTATTCATGTCGTTTACATGTGGTTATAAAATATTTTTCCCTCAAAGACTGGTGGTCCACTGGCATCTTAAATTGCAAACTTTTGGTAACTTTGCAGTATTTTTTATCCATACAAAATCTTGTAGTTTTTTTTTTTTTTTTTTGTAATTTCTGTTCTAGACTCTAGATGTGGGTAACCTGTCTGAGATGCTTTAACTTATGATTTAAGGGCTTGTAAGTTAACAATGGATGTTTCACTGAGCAGAATGGAATGGCAAAAAAGGATGTATGTGGCTGACCCCATATAGTTGGGGCCAGGTTTAGACGATGATGATGGTGCCACACTCTTTGATAATGTTTGACCTCAGAAAGCTTCAGAACCTTGGTGATGGTTTGATGTCTTGCCTTATTAGAATGTCTTATATTTGTATTCAACATTGGTCCCTTTTTAGGGTATTTGTTGAGAAAAATTCTGGATCTATTTGGTTCTGTAGTGAGAATGGGCCGAATGGGCCTTAGTGTTCTTTATTTCTTTTAAGTAGTGTTTAAAAGTTATGGTTGTTAGTTATGGCCCTTCTTTTGTTTTCTTTAATTATTTCTTGAGTGCTGGCCACCCCATTAAGGGCATCCAAGTAATTGTACTTAAGTCTTAGAATTAAGTTAATAAAAGTGATGAAAGGGGGCTAGAGAGAGTGGTTCGAATTCTTCTTTTTCTTTCTTCTTCCACTACCTATTGCTGAAACTTTCTTCTTCTTCCCTTTCCTCCCCTTCTTCTTTTCTTGCATTATTTGAATTACTACAGGTGTAATTTTCAACTTGGTATCAGAGCAGGTTCTCACTTTCGACTTTTTTTTGACTTAATTTGCCCATACATAGTGTGTATGGAGAACTGATCGGTTGATCGATCAACTACTTATGCAACCTAGTTAGGTAGGTTTTTGGAGAGTTTTGTAGAGGTTTTTCATCCTTAGTGGAAGCCCAAGGTAGGTTCTTGAAGATTTTTCCCGAAAACCCTAGATAACTAGAGAAATCTTGTTACAGGTCGTAGAGACAGTTTGAACCAGGTGCCTGGGGATCAGAGGTAAGCCTTTTGATTTCTATTAGGGGCGGTTTTGGTTGGATTGAGTTCTGGAACCTTTGAAAGGGGTGGTTGGAGTTTCTATCATTCTCTCTATCTCGCTGACTCTTGTAAAACCCTAATTTTGGGGGGTCGAAGGGTTGTTCTTTGCTTAGAACAGTAAATCTAGCCTAGTAAAGCCCTAATTTGATTTTTATTTGCATCCGTTTACTCAATGAAGCAAACTGGAGGAGATCCAAATATTCCACAGATTTTGGTTTTGAACATGGGGGGCCAGTGGAGAATCTTTTTGGGGCTATGACTATTGTGAAGTCAAATGGGACCAATTATTTAGCCTGGTCTCAATCTACTAAGATACATGTGTGTAGTAGAGGAAAATTGGGTTACATTACCAGGAGCAAGAAGAAGCCTGAGGAGGATGATCCTACCTATGAAAGGTAGATGCAGGAAAACTACATAGTAGTGGGTTGGTTAGTAAATTCTTTTAAACCACATATTAGTCAACATTACCTGTGGATGGAAACTACAAAAGAAGTGTGGGATAATATCACGAAGGCCTATTCCCAAAAGCTTAATGTTGCACAGGCCTACAAATTGAAGCATGATGTGAATAATCTTAGACAGGGGGAGAAGCCCTTAGCAGTCTACTTCTCTAAGCTGAAATCTCTTTGGCATGAGATTGATCTGATGGAGATTGTTGTTTGTGGTTGCACAAAGGATGCAAAAACATATAGGAGGTTGGTGGAGAGAAATTGGGTCTTTGAGTTCCTCATCAGACTCAACTCAGAATATGATGTTGTGAGGCAGAATGTTTTAGCAAAGGATGAGGTGACTTTGTCTCAGGCTTATGCTATGGTGAGCAGTGAGGAGAGCAGAAGACAGGTTCAGTTTGTTGAGCCGTAGGATGATCACTATGCTAATGTTGGGATGAAGCCGAAGATTAACATTGAGAAGAAAGATGTTATTTGTGAATACTGCAAGAAACCTAAACACATTAAGGATGTTAGACAGTTTATGTATGCCCTTAGCTTCAATCTGATTTGATGTACTTTTGTTATTTAGTGGAAATAAATAAAGTGCATGTTTGATTCATGTTGTTTGGTTTAATTCTGTGCAAAACCCTAAAACTGGACATTT